CTCTCTCTCTCTCTCTCTCCATCTCTCTCTCTCTCGTTCGCTCGCCTTCCTTTTTGAACTGATAGTCATCGCTCTTGGAGCTTCTTCTCCCCATACCGGTGACGTCAACCGCCTGCGTCTGCGCGGACGGTCGACGCCCCCGTAAAGGGAGAAAGCTTAAAGTTCATCATCTTCCCTCGACGCACCCACTTTTGAGGGAGAAGAATTGCGTCGATTGTTGTATGGATTCGGTGTTGGTTCGGATGACCGGGAATGCGGGATCTTGCCCGTGTTCATCGCGTACCTCCGACCGTCTCATCTCGCTACCGACCTTCCCCATCACAGATGATGACAACGTCTAATGCGATGAGGACGTACGGCGCGCGCTGAGGCGGACGACGCAAGTGTGTTGGCAGGACCTGCCTCGGGCGTGTGATATAAGGGGGAATAGGTTTGTCCTGATTGATCGTTTTGATTCCCCGACTCTAATATTGCCTTACACGGGTTTAACAGTGTTGCCCTAGTCGGCCGCTCACGCCGCGTGGTGGCCGCAGTTTGATTGTCGCTGGTGTCGCCAGGGGGACTCGTGTTCTTGGCGACGGCTGGTCCTGGGTTACGAGGGATTGACACGTTTCCCTGAGCTTTCCCGTAGTGCGGGGGCGCTGCCCGCACAATTTCGAATTCGGACGCCGACGAGTCCTCCCGCCGCGTCACCCTCCCGGAAACTTTTGTGCGGACTCTGTGAGTCCGACGCCGAGGCTTGACGGCCGCGAACCAACCACCTCTACAGCAAAGACCCGAGGGTTCGGCCACTTCGTGAGAACCGAGGATGAGGCCTGAAGGCTTCGAACCCACCACCTATCCCCCAAACCCCTTACGACCGAAGTTTTGTCTTCCGCCGCCATGACCCCCCCCCTTTTATGCCTTTTCCCGTCCTGATGCACGACGACAGTTCGTTTTTGCGGAAACCTTTTTGATTTTATCGTCTCGGAGTGATCCGACCCCCACGGGACTTCGAGGCGACAGTTCGACTCCGGGGAAAACCTCTGGCACGAAACGAGGGCCTCATGTTCCGTCCGGGAGACTCAACCCTTACGGCCAAAAATCCTCGGCCACGCCCCTCCTAAAACTCTGATCGGCGACCCTGTACGGGACACCGCGAGGGGGCGAGAGGTTGCATATCACAAGCTCCCCCCCTTTCCCCTTTTTTTGAAATACCAGGGCCATTACCTGACTTTGGCTAAGAACAATCTGAAAACTATTCTTTAAGGAGTTCAGGACAATTTAGGAAAGACGTGGATAACTGCTGACCTGTTGCTAGGCTACTTAAGCAGCCTAGCAATGGTGATACGGGACAAGTACCTGTACGTGGGATGTTTCCAGCGGGTTCTTTACGAAGAGGAACTGAGACTGGGCAACGAGCTGCTAATACGGGCGGGCCAAGACTTTGGTTCTTGGTGTACCCAAAAAGCCGCGGCAATAGCTGGTTGGCTACACCGTATTGACAGAAATGCTTCTATGCTTGATAAAGTGTCCGGGAGGGTTCTGTTGCTAAAAATTGCCTATCAGAAAAAAAAGTTTTCCGGTAGCACTTTTTATTAAGGTCCTCGAGAACTTCGCAGTAAAACGGGGTCTGGTCTGGAAGCTGACAACAAGTCTCGTTCGACAATTTTCAGTAGGATTCTAGAATAGTGAGTATAGGCAGTTAGGTCCCAGCGCTGTTGACTACCACAATCTTAGTATGATCGCACGTGGGATATAACGTACATGACGTTAATGTTTCCAATTTGATATCCCGCTATTAAGTGGGTTTTGCTGAACGTTGAATTGTGTACTTGTATTTGCCCTTGCTTAAGCACTTGATAACTGTCAGACGGTTGTTGCTCCGCTTTGGTGGTCAAGACTACGAGATTTCAAGACGAAAACGAAGACGACGACGACGAAGACAAAGAGACGTCAGTTTGTCACGACGAAGGAGAATCCTGTAAGAGTGAGAAACTGCGATAAGGCGCCATGGCGTCTTCAAGTCGAAACCCGCCGAGGGATGATGGAAATAACCAGGCTCCTAGAGGGCAACGAGGCCCGCAATGTTATTCCTGTAAACAGTATAAACACTTTGCTCGTGATTGCTACCTCTTTTGGAAATAAGAGAAAGAAAAGGCGGATAGGCGCAGGCGACCAGAGGCGGAAGGAAGGAAAGAGGAAGGTTAATCTCGAGCTGAAACCTTGCGAGCTCGATCTTCATCGCCACAAAAAAATCGATGAGAACCGCCACGCAGATCGCCATCAGCAGATCGGTACCAGCCACGGTAGTACGATAGTCATCGAGAACAAAAGGACTCGACCAGAGAACTTGTATCGCTGCTACTCGCGAAGGAAGCAACAACGGAGCAGAAACGGAAGCAGCAAGAAGAGCATAAGCAGAAGAAGGGAGAAGCGCTCGAACGTGAGAAAAAACGGAAACGTAAAGAGCAGAAGGAGCGTGAACGACAAAAAACTAATATAAGGGTGACACGTTGTCGCACGCGGAAGTCCCACACCCAGACGCAAAGTAATTTAGTGTCGGACCTCACGGTCGCATTACGCAGGAGTCTTGAGTCACCTTAGCAAAATACCACTCCGACCAAGCGCGCGTGCTATACCTCTCGCAAACCCCTACGACAGGTTAAAGATCCCGCGAGGTACAACATTACCTCCACCTACGAGAGTTGTCACCATCCCTTAGGTGAGCATATCCCTGTTGAGCTACTGACCCATGTGTGAAAGCTTTTACATGCAATCGCAGAGGTAGGCCAGCCGAGGGCGCTTTCTCGATCGTTGTAGCATAGGCATACACGCGGTAGAATGCCTTAGACTGACCCGTGTATCGCGCCCTGAGGTGCTAACTTCCTCGGACCGACTATCTAATCAAGTCGATTTTCTGGACAGTCTTCCACGCTTAGCT